GTGCACTTCCATCTTGATGTATGAATAAACTTTTTACCTTATTTACAGAACTGGATTTATATACATGATTTCCACTATTTAATTGTCTTCCATCTCCCCTGACTGTAGGCGAGCGGTCGGAGTCCTCGTGAGATCTTGAATGGTGTTGACATGATTTTCCGTGTTTCTGCGTCTGTTTCGCTCCTGCCATTTCTTGCGGAAATCTGCCCCCTCTAAAGGGGTGGAATCCTTCTTCACAAAAACAGACTTGAATTCAACAGTTTCTCCTAATTTTTTCGCTGTTTTCAGCACGCTCCAAACCTGGGCTCGATCCTTCACAGTCACCAATAGAGGTCTGCAGGCGTTAATAGCAGCATTCTTGGAGCGCAACCTCTTGCACGATGCAATGTCAACCGGTGTGCTTAGTGCTTTACTACAACAGTCTGCCACATAGTTATTGTCGGCCATCACACGTTTGTTCGTCTCAGATGCGGTGCTTTCGGGAATGCCGAACCAAACAAGGTTGCACTTCCTACGTTCTCTGTCTAGTAATTCGCGGGATTGTATACGTTAATTTAATTATTTTGTCCACGTTGTGATTCTTCAGTTCCGTCTTTTCCAAATTTTTTGTAGAGTTCAGTTGAGCTCTCTCTTCGATCAGCTCTTTGCGCAACGAGCTCAGTTCATTACTCAAAGAGCCAACTAAATTACTCAACGTGTTCATCTCTTTCCGATAATTGTTTTCCATTTCAGCTCGAAATGCTGCGAACACAGCGAACCACTTCTCTTCCATCTGCTTCTCGCTTTTCCTGGCACGGAGAGTCGATTTCTCGCAGTCGCTACAGAACCAGTGAACGACTCTGTTTTCTGTAGGACAGAATATTCTTCAGAGCTCACCTTCGCGCAACTGATGCAAATGAAATCCTCGCAGTGTTCACAGATGACCTTCTGATCATCTTCTCTCAATGAGGTCTCTTTGCAGAACTTGCAAGCATCTTCAACTACGCACTTCGATCTCCTGTTCGATTTTTTCGGTGCATCTTGTTTCGAAGAACCGCATTCCTTCTTAACAATCTTGTTTACTTTCTTCCCAGCCACCGAAATATCTTCTTTCTTAATTGTTAAATGATTTCTGGGTTCCTTCACTGAGATTTAGCTAGGGTCTCTCACAGCAATAAATCACCGGAAACAATAAATCACCGGAACAAGCCTGATAACACAACCGCCCGACAGTAGTAAAGTTCCGGATATACAGCACAGCCGCCCGACAGTAATAAAGTTCCGGAAGTACAGCACAACCGCCTGACGGTAATAGAGTTCCGGAAGTACAGCACCACCACCCGACGATAATAAAGTTCCGGAAGCAATTCAAGCAGGAAACAAGTTGGTCAGGCTCCTTGAGCGACTACACAGCACGTCTGATCTCCACCGCATCTCAATCTGAACTTTTTAACCCTAATCGCTACGTGTTTTCATGTCACGCTTCAACCTCGGGACTCGGGTGCAATTGATATCTGCCCAGACTGCCCTTAATTCTGTTAAGTATTTTTTAGGTGTCTTCTATGTCGCGTTTATAAAATAAATATTAACGCGAAGGTACAGAAAAAGAAAACTTCTCGCCAACTCAGAGGATTTTCCAGCGAGTCGGAAACAAGACCAAAGCTAACATTCATACTGAACGTGAGTATTCCGTCAGCTTTGTCCGGTGACAAACATACCTGTGGCTGTTCTTAAATTCGAGAGAAACGATGAATTTTCTTACAAATTGACGGTAATATTAGTTGATACAATTAAAACATAAAATGATAACTGTACAAAGGTTAAAGTTTGGAATCAAGAAGCTGGATAGAACCGCTCTAACAATGACGTCTAGAGAAGGCTATGACGCTCCCGGACTTCCCGCCAATTCCCAACAATCGGAGGGCAACTCAACAGCTTCACAAATAGCCACAATCCTGTCCGATGGAGAATGGGATCAGGAGCTGATGGCAATGGAGGAAAATGACAACATCGAGTCTGCAAATCAAAGAAATCGGATAAGGAAAGCATCTAAGGATATGACATCTGGAATTGCACCAAAGAAAGCTGTTGAATCTACCCACCGAGTTCTGCCGGTGCCAGTGGCAACTCTGCAGAAAGATGCTGGTACTGAGGAACCTGTTCCGCCTGCTAGACCCGACCCGCTAGCTTCAATAGTCATGTGTGGCAAGGGTCAGCTGCGGGACTCCTGGGCAGGCGGGGGGCTGCTTAAACATCGCGCAGATGGAGTGGCGCTCGTCTTGCAACGTTAGTCAAGCGCAAAACCTGCCGCGCCCACGACAACCAAAGCTACATCCGAGCGTGCGAGTGTTCCCGTCACGACTACGTGTGCTTGACACCAGGGATCCCCTTGTTGGAGGCAGATACACGGGTGCCTGCTCAGCGCGTCGGACGAACCAAACAACCCGGACCAGGAAAATGACCTTTGAATGCGCCTCTCGTACCTAATACCCCGACAACGGAAACGACCCGGA